AGACACTGTGCCCTAACCGGTTTGGCTTAGTGGATAGAGCATCGGCCTGCGGACTGAGGGGTCCCGGGTTCTATTCTGGTCAAGGGCATGTACCTTGGTTGCAGGCATGTACCCAGTGGGGGGGATGCAGGAGGCAGCTGATTGATGTTTCTCTCCCATCGATGTTTCTGGTTCTCTATCCCTTTCCCTTCCTCTCTGTAAAAAATCAATAAAATATATTTTTTTAAAGACATTATAAAAGATACATAAAAATATTCCAGCATGTCTCATAAAACTGTTTAATTTATAGCATTAACGCCTTAAGTATGGTAAATACATCACTATTATCTTACAGATATTATCATTCCTTTCAAAGAATCTATTTTTTTATTTTATCAGCATTGAGATTCTATTTACATAAACAAGAGCAATGGAGAACACACAGCTCAATCACTATCCTCAGAAACTAAATATTCTAATAATTTTAATATACACATTACCAATTTGTAGCCTATAATTTGAAGAATGTGAATGGTGAAACGTCTAAATAAAGTACCAGAGACAAAAAACAACGACAAAAAACTGCTTCATATTCAAAGGCACAATGTGAATTTAGATCAGCTGGACTCACTGCTCTATATTTCAGGAGGCAGAAGTTAATAAGTGATCTTGGGATCCTTGCTCTAGAGATGTCTCAAGGGTCTATTTCTTTATTGAAAGTACCTCTACTTTTGATAAATATCTATGCTACTACATAAGTGATATCTTTGCCCATAAAACTCTACTTGAAGCTTTTTTGATATTTAAGACTTGTATATATTACAATGAAAAAATTTAAGAACATGCAACATGCACAAAGGGTCAAGATATACTCCTTCCCTTCTGATGCACTGCACAAGAAGGTTAAGAAACTACTATCACACACTCTAAGTTTGGGACATATTTTCAAGAGATTTTAAATGAGAAATTCAATAAACCTTAAACATTAAACTTTCCATTATTTCAGATCACGAAAAGATTTTTTAAGTACTTTGTAATACACAATATATATATACTCCACAAACAACTATATACAGGTATATGCCATATCAAGTCCCTTACTATTTTCAATAAAAATGTATGATTCACCTTGGCCAGTGTTGCTCCATGGTTAGAACACTGGCACTTGCACCAAAGGGTCATGGTTTCAATTCCCACACACGGGCTGAAATCTAGGTTGCAGGTTCAATCCCTGCCCAAGTCAGGGGCACATGTGGGAGGCAACTAATCAATGTGTCTCTCTTACATCAATGTTTCTCTTTCTTTCTCTCTCCCCCTCCCTCCTTTCCAGTCTCTCTAAAAAAATAAAAATAAATGTATGTTTATTCTTGTCATAAAAATCTGATTTGGGGTATTTTAAAAGTTCAAACATATTAAGCTATGCTTTGCTTTGGCACTAGCTCCCCCTCCAGACCAACCTACTAATAAACTGCACTTTGAAAAAAATAAACAAGGAACACACATTTTTCCAAACCACTAGCAAATTTCAAAATTCACCACCTTTAAATACATTCCAATTCCTTAAAATAAGTAGTTAAAATTTGTATCCAAACATTTCAGAATATAATCAGAATTATTTTTTCAAACCTATACATCTCAAGCAGAACTGACTTGTAGGAAAACAACTTCAAGTGACTCTTAAAATTTAAGAAGATCCTAAAGTAAATCTATGTAGTGGTATGTTTTATGGAAATTATTTGAACCACTATCCTAATAAACCACAATTTATTCTTCATGTGAGATCAATACTTGATTAAAGATACATTTTAGCATGTTTCTGCAGTCAATGCAAGTTTCATTCCAGCTGTTCAGCTCTTCAAGTAGAATTCTCTATTTATAATGCAGCAAAAAGAAAATCCATGCTTCCAAACTACCCTTCTATTTTCCTTCTACTCCTTTCTAACTCCCTACATTTTTAAATACTAAACTGTAAAATCACAATTCAAATGTTTGAATTCCCACCTTATTCTTACTATTGTATTTATAAATCAAGTAACCAAGGCTTTCTATACACATTTTATAGTGTATTTCACAAGGCTAGCAACTTACAGGGCCTTATTATTTTGGCATAACATTTTAGGTTGTTTTTAATTTGAAGGGAGAATACAACTTACGCCATTATTTCAGTGTAGCACTGTGGTGCTTAAATAATTTCTCTCCTAAAATGATTTCTATAGGATGCACCCTTTAAAAGAATTATGCATAAAAACATAAAATTTGTTAAGAAAATGAAAATTCAATTAACCCCAGAACAACAAGGAAAATAAAAAACTAGTATAATGAAACCTTTCCTACAGTTTCTAAAGAGAGCCAAGCCAAAGTTCAGTCAATTACCTATGATAAGTTTAAAATGCAGGAAGTAGATTGACACCTCTCCCTGCCTTTATCCAAGGCCTCAATCAAAAAGCTAATATGGAGACGGAGAGCTGCTCTTGCCACCACCAACATGAGACTTTGTACTGACCCCCATTCTTAGTGCTGGAATGACCAACCTGAAGCTGAAGAAGCCATCCTGTATGCACATGTCCTCGGCCATGACAATGTACACTCTAGTGGTAGTGTCTGACTTCCTTATCACCAGAGAAATAATTTATTGTGTTATCGTTGAACTACTGAGTGTTGGCTCTATGACTGAGGAACATGGCATTAGAGACCAGCAGCTTTCTTGGCCTATAGAGTAAATGGACAATCTATTATGGAAGGACTCGAATCCTGTTTACAACGGGAGGGTTAGGTTTCATAAACCTAGACCAATCCAAATGCACCAAACATTCCAAAACTCAATAGATGTCCTCTTCTATTCACTGGATTCGCCTGTGTCTTACTGAGTTTCTTTTCAGGGACAGAGTATTCGTGAGAATGCAACTGCCTGGCTATCTGATGGGTTGGAGTGCCTTTTGAGAAGAATTGTGGATACCGGATTTGTTCCTGTTAATGAAGTTTTAAAGACTCTATCAATCCTCTGATATGAAATATGGGGGAAAAAATGAAAAGCAGCAGAAAACATAGGAAGCATATTAAAGCTCGGACTAGAATTATCTTCTTGGTATCAAACAAGACAAAGCTTATCAGCGTTTTCTCCTGCCGACCTATACTGGCACACCACTGATGTTAAGTCTCTTTCAGTTTTTAATTTTTAAATAAAATATACTCCCATTTCTACAACTAAAATAAATAAATAAGCGAGCTAATATATGGCAAAACGCTAAAAGCTCACCAGGGATGACTAACCACGACCCTGTCATTGAACTTAAGAGATGCACTGCGTCCCTGGCGCTCTGTGTTTCTAAAGATTGCAGTCCCCACTGTGAGAGAACAGGTGCTGCGACCTACCATCCATTCGCTCTCGCAGGACAAACCTCCTTTAACTAATAAAGACTCACTTCACCTCCCAAGTAAGTTTAGATACTCAAAAGCCGCCAGCTCACCATTTCCACATCAAGGGGGTGGAGGGTGAAGGGGCACTCCCGCCCGTAAGTGCCCGGGCATCGCCCCCTCGCTGGGAGTGGGTCTGTGTGCAGCCCCCCACCCTCCCCCAGGTTTCTAGCCCAGGAACCCCTCTCACAAGCCCGTGAGGCACAGGCATCCTCCTCCTCGCAGTCAGTGACTACAGGGGCAGAGCTGCTGGCGAAAGGGCATGTAGGTGTGCAGAAGAGGGACACCTCCTCCCCCGCCCCCATCTCTCCACCACTCCTCGGCTCCAGCCCCTGCCCGATCCAAGGATGCGCGACCCGAGGGCAGCGGCCACCCCACTCCGCGTCCCGGCCCGGGCGGCGGGCGCCCCTCACCCCTGCCTGCGC